ATGACCGGCCAGTAACGGCTACAGGCACTGTAGGTAGGCATGGAGAGTAAGTGGACGAAGTACAGAGTCATACCTTCCAGTCTTCCATCCGCGCCTTCATTGGTTGGCTTCCCCAATCGTCCATGGTTGGCTCTCCACAACCGACAGCTCCCTCTATGACCGGCCAGTAACGGCTACAGGCACTGTAGGTAGGCATGGAGAGTAAGTGGACGAAGTACAGAGTCATACCTACCAGTCTTCCGTCCGCGCCTTCCTTGGTTGGCTTCTCCAATCGTCCATGGTTGGCTCTCCACAACCGAGAGCTCCCTCTATGTCCGGCCAGTAACGGCTACCGGCGCTACAGCTAGGCATGGAGAGTAAGTGGACGAAGTACAGAGTCATACCTTCCAGCCTTCCGTCTGCGTCTTCGTTGGTTAGCATCTCCATTCGTCGATGGTTGGCCCTCCTCAATCGCCATGCCCCTCTTTAACCGGCCGGTAACAGCAACATTCACTGTCGGTAGGCTAGGAGTGCAAATGGAGGAAGTTACGATGCTTACCTTCACGTCTTTCGTCGGCGCCTTCGTTCGTTACCTTGCTCCATCGCCGTTCGGTTGGGTCTTCTCGCTCACCACCTCTACCATCGTCAGCAGGTAATAATCACAATGACTGCCGCTAGGCATAGAGAGCAAATGCAGTACGTACATATGCTTACCTTCACGATATCCGTCTGCGAATTCGTCGGATGGTGGGGGATATGTAGAAGTTGACAACCGCTGTATTGTAAACTTCCACAGTTCTCCATCTGGATCCTCGCCGACTGCTGGTGGACGTAGGTGCCGTCCTCAGCGGGTTATACCGACCGCCGCGGATGAAATACAAGCTCTCCTTCAGTCAGCAGGCGTCGTTCAGTATCTGCAGCGGTCGACGTTGCTGGTCACCACCGTAGCATGCCGATGTCAGCGTACTGTGCAGATGCAACTGTTGCCGCACATACGGACGGTTATGCATTCCATTGTGGACTCTGCAGGCGGAGGCGATGCATGTTGACGCAGTCATTGTTCGTTGGCAGCAAGCTCAGTCTACAACCACTGCTACGTATATGTTACAAGTTCGTCGACAGTGTGCGCGGCAAGCGCTGTGCAGCAAATGTACGTGTCAGTACAAATACTGCCATGGAATGGAAGTGCAGATAGACGAGACGCTCAGCAGTCAACGCAAGTACAACGGGGAACGACCGCGGTGCCAGCTGTGGGTCGTCGGTATGTACGATACTCGCAGCGAAAAGCCCTATTTGAGACGATTAAAAACCTCAGCTGGGAGGTCCTAAGACCCCTCATAACAAAGTGAGTGGCTGCCGGTAGTATTATCGTAACCGATGAGCGTAAGGGTTACACCCACATACCGTCGGAAGGTTATACATAATACACTGTCAACCACAGTAGGACTGTCGAGAATCCCACAATGGGTCTGCATACGAACGTCACAGCGGCCTACTGCAGAAGATTAAAGAGGAACCTGTACGAGTCTGGCCTTTTCTGCGGCACAACAGTGTTGGGTCCACAGAGATGAGGTTCAGTACCGCCTCTAGTTCGACTTTCATACGACATTGGGCAGAGGCGTATCCAATTGAATGCGGTCGTTACCTGCGGCCACATGGACTGTAGATAGCAAGGAGACTACATGGAGGAGGTAGGGAGACTTACCTTCACGACTTCCTTCTGCGTCTTCGTTGGTTAGATTATCTATTTGGCGTTGGTTGCCTCTCCGTAATCGCCAGGAGATAACGGCCACATTCACTGTAGTTAGCCATGGAGAGTTAATGGACGAAGCCCATAAACTAACCTTCACGTCTTCCGTCTGTGCTTCCGTAGGCCAGCTTATCTAATCGCCGTTTGTTGGCTTTCCTCAATCGCCAGCACTTCCACCACCATCCATTAAACGGCCAACTTCACCGTATGCAGGCATTGAGACTTAATGGAGGAGTTACGGAGACTTACCTTAACGTCTGCCGTCTGCGGTTCCGTTGGTTAGCTTATCTAATCGTCGTTGGTTGGCTCTCCTTCATCACCAGCTCTCCCATCGCCATCCGTTCAACGGCCACATTCACCGTATGCAAGCATTGTGACTTAATGGAGGAAGTACGGCGACTTACCTGCATGTCTTCCGTCGGTGGCTTCGTTGATTAGCTTACCCAATCGCCGTTTGCAGGCTCTTCTCAATCGCCCGCTTTCCCATCGTCAGTAGGTAACCGCTGCATTCATTGTAGGTAGGCATGGAGAGTAAATGGAGGAAGTACAGAGACTTGCCTTCACGTCTTCCCTATGCGCCTCGGTTGGTTAGCTTTCCCTGTCACCGTTCGTAGGCTCTCTTCTATTGGATACACTGCTGCCCAATGTCGTAGGAAAGTTTCCCAGGAGGCTGCCATGTTGTCAGTCCTTAGGTCGAACCATAAGCGGTACTGAACCTCATCTAGGCGGGCCCATACTGCTCTGCCACAGACGGGTCCAGACTCCTGCAGCTTCCTCTTTAACCTGCTCCAGTAGGCTTCAATGGCGTTCGTATGCCGTCCTGTTGTGGGATTCACGAGGCCCCTACGGTGGTTGACAGTGTAGTGCGTATAACCTTCCGACGGTAGGCGGGTGTAACCCTTCCACTCATCCGTTACGATAATACTACCACCAGCCACCCACTTCCTTATGACGGGCCTTAGGGCCTCCCAACTGCGGTTGTTAATCTGCTCAAACAGGGCTTTCCGCCTGCGTGTATCGTACATACCTACGACCCACAACTGCTGCCGCGGCCGTCCTCTGTTATACTTGCGACGACTTATGAGCGTCTCGTCTATCTGTACTTCCACGCCTGGTCCCCCAATTTGGGTTACGGCGGATAGAAGTGCGTGTGAGCAGGCCCCCCGGCAAATGCCGTACCATTCCATGGCCGTATTTCTACTGAGACCTACACTTGCCGCACACTGCTTGGCACGCACACCTTCGGCAAACTTGTAGCATATACGCATCAGTGTCTGCAGGCTGAGTTTACTACCAACGAACATTGACCCCGTCCGCAGGCACCTCTTCCGTCTGCAGTGTCCACAGCGGAATGCATAACCGTCCGTATGCTGCCGCAACACTTGCATCTGCACAGTGCGCCGACATCGGCAGGCTAGGGTGGTGGCCAGCAACCTCCACCGCTGCAGGTACTGAACGACACCTGAGCTCAAGGTCAACGCGCGCAGCACGATTTTGAATAGATAAGTGAAAGTTATATTTTTGGATTCAATTTCTTAATCCCTTGCACAGTTTTTCAGTGTAGACCTGACGAAATTTTCTATTTTTTGTCATAAGTCTTCTTCGCTTCCTGTCGTGTTTCTGCAATTTGTCATAAAGCAGAAATCTATTGTCGCAGTTTTTCACCCAACATAGCCTCAATCCTATCAAGTCTTACCTGCATAAACAAAAGGTTTTCCTCGTAAAAATATAGATTAACATTATATTTTAAACGATAAACCGTCTCCACTGATGGCTTTCATCGTCAGTTTATTGAGAATTTTACTGTTATCTATTTTATCCTACATAGCCTCATTATCAATTCAGATTTATTCATAGTTCTGTTTTACCACCTACGAAATTGTCATTTGCCCTTTTTTTTCTAGTTTGCATTCTGGTATTGAGTAAAACTTGCTTAGTATAAATTGTGCTGTCTGGTTCACCAATATTTGCAGCTTTCATAAATCGTTTCATCATACATAGCCTCATCCATATATCCTCGAAGTTTCGGCAGTTATCATCCATATAAATATTTGAACTTAAGTCTTGTATTGCGTTTTCGGCATGAAACCTCAAGCAACCCTTCGTCGAAATCTGAAGGAAACTAAACTTCATCTGAAACCCAGTGTTCATATGAAAAAAAATTGATCTAGGGGCGCTTGATGATTTTAACAACTTTATGTCTCGTTGCGGATCAATTTTTTCTGTCCTTGGTGCCCTTCTTGACGGAAATTTGCCAACGCTTACGTCTCAGCAGTGTGAGAAGCTCATGCCTCTCATTAACCTGGTTGCGACTGAGACTGAAGACAGGCACAAACGAAGTTTCAACTTTATATTAAAAAACGTTCCCAAGAATAGACAGCCAATTGATGTCGCCTTTCAATTCCTTTTTTCATGCGGCTTCAACTTTAGGGTCGCGGAAGCCAAAAGGCTTTCATCTAGGAGCAAGAATCCACCCATTCTTGTCAAACTCTTTTCATCGATAGAAGTGGATTTTATTTTCTCCCATTTGGAGCGATCAACTCAATATCTCAGGGCAAATAAACTTTTTATTAGTCGAGACCAGACTCCACTGCAACGAAAAATTTCTCCCACATTACCAAACGTAAAGCCACCCCCGAATTCTACTCAAATGTCTTTTTCCTCTAGAGCAGTTTCTCCATCTGGTGTCGACCAAATCCCGCCACTATCTACAGCGGCCCCAGTTCCATCTAGCTCTTCGACTGATCACATTATCACAGAGACGGTTAAAACTAGCCTCTTTAAAACTCCCCCACGGAGCAAGGATTTTTCAAATGCGGCTCCCAAATTTATAAGGGAGCTTGATCTTAGCAGTAAAGATGAGCTAGTCCTTAAAGCACAACCGGCTCCCAGCACTCAGAATAGTGATTTGGTTAATAAACTTACATCGAATCCACCCCGTTCCCACGCCTGGCCACTCCGGTCTGACCTTGCAGTTAGGTCTAATAAGCTAGATAAGAGTTCAGGGAGGTCTTTACCTGTTCCTATCCTGAATTCCCAACTAAACGCCACAGCTGTGAAGCGCTCTTACACATCAGACTGCAAAATGCAAGTATATTGCATTGCTGATAAATTTTCCAATCCCGTTGCTAGCCTGACACCCCAAATAATAAAGCCCTTTCCTGATGTTAACTGTTTCCCGAAACCATTACGTCCGCCACCTAACATAAACTACCCCTCGTATTATGCTAACAATTCCCAAAATCCTATTTTCTTGTCTCCTATTTTTCCAAGCCAAAAAAATAGTTTTCCTCTTCCTGGGTCCTCCTCAAATGTTTTTCTACCTAATGCTGCATCTCTAACTAGTAATTACCCCATAAATTTTAGACCGCAGCAACTTTGTCCTCCACCAATTGCTCCGTTTCCTCAGCTTAATTTTCCACCTCCGGCTCTTCCTTTTTTATAAGTAGCAATGAGCGGAACCTACATATTAGGAATACGCTCAGTATTGTCTCTCTCAACGCAAAATCTGTCGTACAAAAGATGGCACACCTAAGAAGTGTAGCTGTTGAGTTTGACACAGACGTATTGTGCATTACTGAATCTTGGGCCCACTCTCTAATTTCAGATTCGGTACTTAACATAGATAGCCTTAGTTTATACCGCCAGGACCGTGCCGACAGACGCGGCGGTGGATGCCTTCTTTACATAAGAGCATCACTTGCACAATCGCCTTATAACTTGAACATTTCCTCCTTCTCTGGAAATTTATGTTTTGCTTTGGTAATCCTTCCTCAAAATAGGAAAGCCTTAGTCGGATGTGTATATAATCCTCCTTGTTCCTCTGGAAATGAAAGCCAACTTTGTGAGCTCTTTGAAAAAATTGCAGAAACTTCTTTCGATGTCAAGATAATCGTAGGCGATTTTAATTTGCCAGAAATTGACTGGCACACACATACTTCTCCTCCTAAATTCCAGAAGCTGCTTGATACAATTTACTTTTCAAACCTGACTCAATTAGTTCACTCTTCGACCAGAAACGATAGTGTTTTAGACTTAATTTTTACTAATGGCACCTTCCCTTTATCTATGGATTTTTATCATGACCTCTTTGCAAGTGATCATGCATTAATTCATTGTCGCCTTCCAGTTGCCATTTCCGCAAAGCCAACAGTTCAACGTAGTATTTTTGACTTTGCTAATGTTAATAAGGATTTAGTAAATAACTTTACATGCACTCTTGATTGGCACAATATTTTTTCAAATAATGATCTAAATTTTTTCAACAATTTATTACAATGCGTAACAGAAGGTCTTCTTGACCTTACTCCTCGGAAGATGTTCAAACCGAGTGCTAATTCCACCGCTATCCCACACTTTCTTAAAAACAGACTTAAAAAGTTACGGAAGCAGTTTAAAGATCCTTCTGTGAGTTCATTATCAGTTCATCTAAGAATCGTTGAAATATTTGAACTAGCTTCGAAAAT